GCAATAGAGAATGCTGTATAGTACCGATAACGCGTTTCAGCCGGGTGAAATATGATGTTTGGTCCGTTACACACTCAAGGCCTGGGAGTTCGAGTTATCATACGCCGTCATCTAAGAATTCAATATGAGATACGCGGTACCTTTTGAGATGAAATTTAGCGCGAGAGGCGTTGATGTGACTTTGGCCTCGGTCAATTGAGGCAGCCAAACTTGTTTGCGCTCTTACAATTTTTGTTGGCTACATGCGAGATACCTTGCAATAGAGAATGCTGTATAGTACCTATAACGCGTTTCAGCCAGGCGAGATATTATGTTTGGTCCGTTACAGACAGAGACACACACACACACACACACACACACACACACACACACACACACACACACACACACACACACACACACGCACACACACACACACACACGGACATGGGCAATCCTACAGGTCGGGGCCCCCCTGGGCGCTTCGCGCTGGGGGCCCGCCCAAAAATTGAGGCCGTTAAGAACGACCCCGTCCCAAAAGACAGGACGGCGCTGTGCGGCTTCCTGGGCCTTGCGAGCTACTTCCGCAAGTTCACCCAAGGGTACTCATCGCTAGCGACTCCACTCACGGCCCTCACCGGCAGCAAACGGCTGACCGAAGGAAGAACTTGCACCAGCAGGCTTTCGACGGCATTAAATACGCCCTCATCAACGCCCGTTGTTGCACCTTCCTGACTTTACCAAACCCTTCAAAGTCGTAACTGACGCCAGCATCTACGGCACAGGCGGTGCACTGCTACAGGATGGCCACCCCGTCGCCCACACCAGCCAAAAGTTCACACCTGCCGATGTCAATTACACCACCACAGAGCAAGAGCTTCTGTGTACTCAATGCCCTACAAGAGTGGCGGCCGTACCTTGAGACCGCACAGGATACCTTCATGCTGGTCACCGACCACCGACGTTTTACCTTGCCGTACAATAGTACGGGTCGTACATCGGATGGCTACGCTGGTGTATCGCATCTGGTGTCTTTTGACACCACCTTGACTGGATTTGACAAAAGGATATACGTTGCGCTAGGTTAACAAAAGTTGTTTTAGGTTCTGAATATGCGGGGCCTGCACAAGTGTGGACTGCACACTTATGGCTGGTTGCAAAACAAATTGCGGATGCGAGGCAAAGTGCACTCTTGCGTACGGCTTGCACCTTGCAAAGTCGCAAGTCGCAAGTCGCGCGAGAAATCGCCCATCTTTATACGCGAGCGCATACGTGATTCGGTTTTCCGCACTTGTCATATCCGGCACGTAAGTGTAAATGCATTGGAATGGCATGCGGCATATATGGCTTCGCCTGCCTCAGCAACGCCTTGCACATGGCCTCACACAAAAGGAAATGCCGAATCTTCTTTTCGGTAGTATAGAAATGCCTTTGCCTGTCAAGGAGGTCTCAGTGGTATCCTTGTTGTCGCCCGCTCCTGCTTCACTGTAGCCTTCTTCTCAAACACGCACGCTGGGCCCTATGCCCAACGGTGTCGCGATATAATTGACATTCAGTAAGCTCTCGAGTGGTGAATCTGTGTACTGAGAGTTCCGGACTGAATGCTAAAGTGTGACCGATAATGAAAGCCCTTATGCATTAAAAGGGTGGAAAGATGCAAGTTACAACGAAAACCTGTTGTACTTTTAGTACTTCAGTAAAGGGCCGTCCCTAGTAGACCACTAAAAATCATTAAAAGGCCATGGTTTCCATGGACCTTATTTTTCCTTTTAGGGGAAAGAGGCACTAACAGGTGGCACCAAAAGCCAAGGGAAACAGGCCCAAAGCCTTTCAGATGTTCACGTGGTACATACTGTCAGATCCTGTCCTCTAGGTGATGTCCTTCAAAGCTTTCTGACTGAGTCTCCAAGCTTAGCTGTAATACAGCAAAGTCGTAACCTGGGATGCTCAGATGGGCCTGGCGTCACCACATAAGCAGTGTCAAATCCTCACGCTACGCGTATGTAGGCTTGCCCACCTGAACAATTGTCTAACTGTGTTGTGGGTGTGGGTGGGGGTGCTGCAGCCTATGCTGCGACGGGACTTGGCTGATGATACATGGTACGCGCACAGTGAGTTGAATGAGGTGCGATTACCGATGGGATGCTTACAAGGAGCAAAGCGAACTGATGAGTTGTGCTCGTGTAATAAACTTCACACTATAAAAACGTTCGTCGTCTTGTACCTGGTTTGTGCCTTGGTGGCCGAAAGGCCGATTTCTTCGCCAGGTTTGCCTGGGATGTATTCGGGTAATCCTGGGATGCGTTCACAAAAGCCTGAGCCTTGTTGTCCGAAAAGACAAACACGGCAAAACAAGCAACATAAACCTTTGCGTCCGGTAGCTTCTTCCAAAATTCTCCACCACGCGACCTGCAGGATGCACAGCGGAGGTTCTGACCAGCTATAGCCGAACGTTTGGGTGTACTACTTATGAAGCAACCACACCCAATTGTGCAACCTCCTCCCTCCGTTTCCAAAGCGCCCACAAAGCGGCCCATGACGCTAATGCAACCATTGACAACATGTAGCTGTAGAGGCCAGCCGTTGAGGACCGTTGAAAGTACCAGCACCGTTTGCGGAGCAAGCAACTTAACCTAATGTACCCGAAAGCCCAGTTTCAACATGTGCATGTAAAGCTATTAGCGATCCTGAGTCTTCCCTCGAGTGCAGATAGGCACTCAAGAGGCACAACACTGCAAAAGCTTCACTAACCCATTTTTCCACCCTTTTAATGCATAAGGGCTTTTACTGTCGGTCACACTCGGACATTCCGTCCGGAACTCTCAGTACACAAATTTACTACCCGAGAGCTCTCACCCCTTGCTGACTGTCAACCATATCGCTGTTGGGCCACACTTGTGCAGGCCCCGCATATTCAGAACGTAAAACAACTTTGGTAACCTAGGGCAACGTTTATCCCTGATCAAATCCAGTCAAGAAGACACCGAATGTACGACCGATGTAACCCTTGTACTATTGTACGACAAGGTAAAAGGAAAGTCTATATACGCACAAACACAGATCGGTTTTGTAGTAGAAGACGAAAAACAGTATATTTTCGCCTGCTACGCAAACCGGCCAGTGCCATTTCCTTGTCAATGTCCTTCCACGGAACTCCCGCTGAGTACCTTGGAGGTCATATCAATGAGGAGGCTCGCTTGAGACAGCTTCGCTTGCAGTATGGCCATGTCAACATGTACCCTAAAGTAATATCAGTATTGAAGTAAACGCACGTATGTAAATGGCAAACGCAGGCGTGGAATCTGTTTTTGACTTTCCGCCGTACTGCAAACGCGGAAACGCGGATTCTCTTTCCGCACTTTCGTCATTCTAGGCTCTCTGCGGAAAGTGGGAAGAAACCTATTTCCACAGGTTTCCGCTTCCGCACGTTTCGGTATCGGCTAGATCCCTGGTGTAAAGTGGGCCCAATGGAAAGTGAAATTCATATATTTCTATAGTAAACTTGTAAAATTTCTTAGCCGCTGGCCAATGGAAAGACCCCATTAGAGCGTTACCATGGGTTTGCCGAGCATGACCATATCGGGTGCCGGCGGACCGGGCGCCGTACACGCTCGTCCAGCTGGGCGATTTGACCTGGCAACTCACAGATTGTTACAGCAGAGGAAGTGCAAGCCGCTCTCCAGGCGGCAGCCCCGGGCCGTGCTCCGGGTCCCGACGGAATACCGGTGGAATTATACCAGCGTACTAACTGTGCACCCTTACTAGATAGGGGAACTAGATAGGGTCCCGACTGGCTTTCTAGACGGCATTATTTCCTCTTTTTTTAAAGCGGATGACCCTACGGTGCCGGGAAATTATAGACCCATTACGCTGCTTGGTACAGACTATCGAACTCTCGCACGTGTTCTCAAGCAACGCCTATTGCCGCTGTTTAACCGCGTCATAGACACGGAGCAGACAGCCTTCCTCACGGGCAGGCGAATCGCGGATAGTGTGCTCCTCTTACAACTGCTGCCCGCGCTTCTCCGTATGGAGCGCCGTACTTGTGTGGCAGCTTTCCTTGACTTCTACAAAGCCTACGATACCCTAGATAGAGACTTTCTGTTCGCGTGTCTGGATGAATTGGGGGTAGGTGTGGGCTTTATTGCTTGGGTTCGACGTCTGCATACTAGTACGCAATCAGCGGCGATTGTCAATGGCTACCTTTCGTACTGGGTTCTTATAGCGGCTGGCGTCAGGCAAGGCTGTCCGCTTGCCCCCATCCTATACCTTGCGCCAGCACAAGCATTACTAACTTGGCTTCAATATCAACAAATCGGCATAAGTTTGCGTGACATTCACCTCGCTGCGTCACAGTATGCGGATGATTGTGGTGCCTTTTTACGTCGCCTAGCGGACATTCCCCGCTTCAAAGCTGTCATGGATGTTTTCCACGCAGCCTCGGGACAACGACTCAACAATCGCAAGGTTGAGCTCTTGCCGCTTGGCACGTTCACCCGCAATACAAGACCGGCAGACTTACCACCAGCGAATGCTATTGGTAATCATTTAATCATACCGGTTACTAACCTAACGCATATGGCGAACTCTGTGGGTAACGAACAAGTAGCAGACGAGGTTGAACAGCAGCCTGTTGTAGGTTCAGTAGTTGGCGATTTCAGGGTGCTCTCAGTAGCTACAACCCTAGGGATTCGCGTCGCAGATAGGCCCTCGCTCGAACAGCAATCGGTTTCGCTTTCTCCTGTGAGGAATAGCTTGCAGTTAGTCGCTGGGATGCATTTATCAGCTTTTGGTCGAGCTTTTGCGGTATCAGGTTATAGCATTAGTAGAGTCCTGTACCACTTGGAGTTTATGGGGGCACCTAGCAACACCTCGATGAATAACCTGCTGGGAGACTGTGCGGCCGTTATTGACAGGCGTCAACCGCCATCTGTGCGGGACAATGCTGAACGAAGACGGGCCCCGGGTGTGGGAGTCGCATACATGCCGTTTCCTCCTGCCATTGGAGGTTTCGGTCTTATTCCTCTGCACGAACATCTGCGTGCACGGTTTGCCTGTTTGTCCTGTCGTGCAATCCTTGGTATGGCTGGTATGTTGGAAACTAACCCCATGTGGACTCGGGTATTACTGGCAATATTGCGTCATATCCACCCGGCGGCCCACCCATTATGTCTGTTGGCCGTTAGGGGAGATGTACGAGATGGCCGTGTCACTACTATCCTGGGTAGGCCTGTGCCGAATGATTGCCCGGCATTAACACGAATTCTATCAGCTATGACTTCCCTACCACAACCTGTCCTTCTGGATGCGCAACATCTAGCTCCGGGTCCTTGGTGTTACCATATCCCTCTTTGGGGAAACCCTTTGCTAAATGACGCTCAGTTGGACGAACATTTTGGTGATCTTAGAAATTTGCGTGGGTTAGATACCGTAGGTATGGCCGTACGGTGCCACACAGCTATGTCGTCTACGTGGAATTTGGTGCGCATGGTCGGTGCACAAGGCCTTACTGAGGCGCAACACTTTCATTGTACGAATCTGTTTCGTACTATCGTGGTACGGGGCATATTAGGGCTTACGCCGAGGCATCCCCTGCCGGCATCGTGTCAGTCGGGGGCGACTGCCATAACGCGTATATCGCAACTTATCGACCGCCTACCCCCGCAATGGACCATAGCGGCGATAGTGGCTATTAATGACAGAAACCATGAAATACCGCCTCCGCAAGAGGCCTGGAAAAGAATTGTCAAAAGCTTGGGATGGAGATTTGGTCAAGTGTTACTGCATTTCTCTCAAGTAACGGTTAAGTTTGCGACGACTTTATTAATGGCACCTTCTTTACGAACGCTTGATATAAACATGAAGATTTTATTTTGGATGCTGTTGATATCGTCTTATCGCCGGAGAACTTGGCCAATACTTTGTTGGACTTCCGTCGTCGCGCATGTGGAGACTTCGGTGGGATAACGAGCATAAAGAAGCCCTTTGGAGGCTGGCTCTTGATGGTTTCCCTGCCTTTCCTATGCATAGGGCGCAACGTCAAAGAGGTATCCCGGCTGCTATGTGCCCCTGTGGTGTACGCATGCTTTGTGGGGATCGTCGGCATCATTTCTGGGATTGTACTGTCGCGTTGGCTCTTCGTGAAGCTCTGCAAAACGAACTTGAGTTCCCTGACCTTTTCAACCGGGCTAACCTGTGGTTGGGCATTCCACCAACCTGGATTTGTGCGTGTGTATGGGAGGTTGTATGCCTTGCGGCCATCAGCTCACTCAATCTCGGTCGCCGTTTGTTGTTTAGGGAAGGTCTCCAGACCAACATGCCTATATCAACGCCATCGCTTAACCGCATTACTTACGAGGTTATCTCTGACTTTTGGGCCCGTTTAACTGCTTTTGCGGCACGGGACTACTTGCCAAAACATTGGGATCATGTACCTCACAATCACCCTTTCTTATATGTCAATGACGCAGACATGGTTGTTTGCCGTTTACCGATATGCAATGACGAAGTTTGAGGGCGCACGTCGGAGCCTCAATTTTCTGTTTAAGCGTACTAA